AACCGCCTGTGCGATTGCGACGCGCTGCAAGCAAATCAAAGCGCCGCTAGTCCACGTCAAGTCTCTAGAATGGAAGGACGACAGGCTGCCACGCATACGTTACAAAACAAATACTAGCTTCTCAGTCCTCTCCGGCGCTCGATTCGTCGTCATCGACCACGAGCAGTCGCGATCGCTTGGACGTAGAGGCTGGCGGCAGAATGTCGTCGTCGTCGTCGTCGTCATCTTCGTCGTCGTCCAGCATGCGTAGGCGCGGGCGTTTCCGGCTCGTTGTTTGCACAATCTCTTCGTCCTCGTCCGCGTCGTCATCCTCGTCATAATCTTCGCGAAGATCCGCAGCGCGGGACGCAGGTTCGTCCACCTCGTCGTCCGAGACATAGTTGTCGCTGACGATGAACGAGTCGTCGCTCTCGTGGCCATACCCTTCGTCGTCGTCACTCACATAGTCGCGGCGGGTGTTGGCGCGCTGCCGCGACCTGTCCGTGGCTTCTTGCAGCAAGCCCGAGACGGCCGCGCGGCGCACTGGCGACCGTATTCTGTACCCGTCGTTGACACCGTCGCGAACCAGCGTCTCGATCTCGATAAAGACATTCGAGGCGAGGTCCCGAAAACAAAAGGTATACATCCCTACAACTCTACTGTATACACGCGTGGCAGATCGCACAGATTACCTTCGGGGACATCAAGGCGGAGCGCTTCAAAGGACACCGAGCCTGCTTGGCAGCGCGCCGTACGCTCCAGCACAATGTGACGCTACGCAAGCATCGCACTGCATCCTTCCATGCACTCGGATAGTATACCGTCTCGTCCCGCACCGTGAGCGTGACCTCGCTGTAGTGGTTAGCGACAACGAGGTTGTCGTCTTCGCCCGACTCGGCCATAAAGGTAGGGAATCCCTCCGTGATCTCTTCGTCCTAATGCAAGTCTGGAATGCCACGCAGCAAGCATGGGGACGTACTTCTTCCATCTGCAGAATGACAAGCGTGCATGCTTGATGCTCCGTATACGCCTCGAGCACGCTGGGAAAGTCCATGATACCAAAGGCCATCCTATCGAGGAGAGCCGTAAGCGCATGCGGTCGCCCGCAACCAAACCGCATCGCACGGTAGCCGTCGACGTTCTCGTCGTCTTCGTCGATAATGACATTCCGGACGATATGGAGCTCTTCGGCATGGACACGGTCAACGCGAATCTGATGCGGGTTGTCGTCGTCGTCGCCATGCTGGTCGTCGGCGTCCGAGAAGGCTTCGTCGTCAAAGGACGCGTCGCCGTCATCGACGGGGCGGGGTGCACCCGCTGCGTTCTGCAGGTCGCGAACGCGCTGCCGGACTTCGTACTTGGACTTGGCGAGCTGGTACGCGCTCTCTTCTTCGTCGTCGTCGCGCTCGTTTGGGTAGAAGAGGCGTACGACGTTCCAGAGCGTGACGTTGATGTTGAGCTTCTCAAAGCAGACGCAGATCGGGTCGCGGCAGATCGGGCACAAGCACTCGGTCGCGTTGCCGTCTTGGGCGTCGCACGACTTGATGAGGCAGAGCCGGCTAGCGCATGATGATCACGCAGGCGATGGAAGAGCAGCGTCGTACCAGTAGGTGTGGCCGCAGGACGCCGAGACCGGCTACGCCCACGACAGAGCTCATGCATCCGACGAGGCCTTCATGGGATGTACCTTGTAGAGGTGCTCATGGCAGATGATGCACTGCAGCTCGTCCATGAGCTTGGCCCGGACCTCGTCCATCCTGCTGCGATCTCCACGGGATCTTTGGCAACTAATGCGAAACCTCCATATTCGTATGTACTCCGACAGGACATTTTATTATAGAGGTGTAATTTAACCTATCGCGTTATATAGGTCGCCACCACTCATGACGACAAATGAAGCGCAGGCTCTGCGGCGCATCGGCGACACCAACCACGCGTTGACCTTGCGTAGTTAGAGAGCGACACTTCTGTGCGTGGTACGATAGCCTATCCGTTGCCTTCAACCTCAAGACCATTCTCTCGCATCTTATCTTCTCGAAACGTCGATTGAACCCACTTTAGCGTGTTGTTTCACGTGAATCAGGGACTCTAGCGCGTATTTTCACATGTCGGCGCTGCGGAGAGAGGTGCTGCAGGTCTACCGCCACTGCTTGCAGTCGGCAGCGCGGTGCCCCGAGCAGACGCACCGCGCGACGATGCGAGCGTACGTGCAGATGAAGTTCCGCGACAAGGCCCACGTCCGCGACGCCAAGGCCATTGCGCTCCTCCTCTCGGATGCCAAGGAAGAGCTCGAGCGCATGAACTACTACCACTCCATGTACAAGACGGGCCAGACGCAAAAGGCGACGCATGGCGCGACGGCGCAGCTCGCGTCCAATTGCCCCAACTGCAACCACGCCTTTGCGACGCCGACCGCGCGCTTCTGCAGCGAGTGTGGCGTTCAGCGCCCGACCATTGCCTAATCGCCGTGCAATCGACAACATGAAGATGCACACGTCTGTTCAGCCTCATGTCTTGTGACCAAAGCATCTGGTATGCATCGAGCAGCGTGCCTCTTGCTGGATTGCCGAAAGGAGTACGCTTTGACTCGAGCTAGCATTGGAGGTGGCCAAGGCGGCCGCAGCCTTCGTCCGCACCGAGCGTTGAGCGCACCGCTGGCGAATGCAACTCGACGGCAGACGCACAGGCGAGGGATGAGTGGGCTCTGCTGCGTGTGGAATGTATCCTGCGCAGTTGCTGGGCGCCAAGTCGACGCTTCCATCGGTCCGATTCGACGGTGGACAGTAGTAGGTCGGTCAGGAGGCACGTCGGTACAGTTGACACCACAGCGCAAACTTGTGCAAGGGAGGACCGAAACAACAAGGTGCAGACGGTGGCGCTTCTTAATCTACTTTATACACTCAAACTTCCTTAGCCGACGAGGCTGCCGCGTCTCGTGGCTCGCAGCAGCGCCTTGACCTCCATGCTCGCGCCCGTAAAGAGGTCGTAGAAGCGGAAGGCGTACTCGCCTACAATGCAGATCGAGAGCAGCTCCAGAGACCGTGGTGCACGTACCTGACGGGCCGTCCACGTACAGATTCGGGAAGGTCACGCGACCATCGACGGGCAGCGACGTGCGCTCGAGTACGATTTCGTCCTAGTTGCCCAGCCAGCATGAGCGCGCGAACCACGATGCATGCAGTCGACGTACGCAACGGTTGAGCACGGTCAGCGTCATCAAGCTCGGGTGCGGGCTTCGGCGCTGGACCCATCCTTCGTGCAGCTCCGAGACGACTACGGGAAACTCGTTCTCGTCCTACAACCATCATCATCATCATCAGCATCCACGCCCAGCGACGCGTCACGGTGGCGCAGAGTACCACAGCGGTCGAGTGCAGCATGGCGATGGTGCACTCTTGCTCCAAGCAGTGGGTCTGTAGACAGCCAGGAAACCGCACGATACCTAGCGCAATGCTAGACAGCGTGAGCGCGCGCCACGTCATAAAAAGGCGTCTACCTCGAGCGGCCGTCCGGCGACACAATGCCCCGGACGATGCTGCGTGCTTCGCCGTCGATCACGTACGTGTCGGACTCGACGTCGTCGTCGTCGTAGGCGTCGTCGTCGTCGTAGCCATTGTCGCCCTCTTCCTCGTCGTCGTCGTCGTACTCGTCGTCGTCGTTTGGCGTCTCGGCCGAGTCGCTGAGTCGGCTTTGCCTCTCGGCAGCGGTGTTGCCGCCGAGCTTTTCGCAGTCGGCGACCGCACGCTGGAAGTTGGCCTCTTCGACGCGCTCGCACAGCGTCGATGGGCACACGAGCCGGACAACGTTCCAGAGCGCGACGTTGACGCTGAGCTTTGAGATCTCAAATCCGATCGACTCGCGGCAGATGGGACAGATGCAGCTGGAGAAGGTCTCGTCCTGGCCCGTGCACGCGTCGATCAAGCAGAGCCGACTAGATGGACGAGATGCAGCAGTCGTGAGGAGGAGAGATGAGGAGGAGGAGGAGGATCGGCGCACCAGTACGAGTGGCCACACGTGAGCGTCGCCGGCTAGCGCATCTCAATGAGCATCATCCGCACCATGCCTCATGCAGTCTACCTTGAAGAGCTGGTGGAGGCAGATGGCGCATTGGAGCTCGTCCACGAGCTGCTGCGCGTCGAGCATGCTAGCAAAAAGTCGGTGGCCCGGATATCCGCAACCGGACAAGAAGATACAAACGCCAAGTATAGGACAGGCGGTGAGTAATTCGCGCGTCCGTACCGTAGGGCCGACGGCGGCGCCATGGCGTGCTGCCAGCGAAACTTGAAGGTGCACCTTTCGACCACTTCAACATGCAGGTGTCCACGCCGCCGCCGACTCTGTTCCCGACCGACGCCGCGAGTCGAGGCCTCTCGGTCGCCAACCACTTGAGCTCAACAAGCTCACTTTCTTGAAGCGCGAAAAAAGCAAGCGAAAAAAGGCCCGCGAGTTCTCGTGGTCGGTGCGGTGCCAAGCACGCGACGCCCACGTCACGCGAGTCTGTCTCTGGCAACGTTCGATGCGGCTTCCCACGCGCAATCTCCACAAGCTACTACTTGCGACCGCCTCATTGTTCCCAGGCGCGCGAACGCTCCGCCTGCCTCTTCGTACAGTACACAGTATTTCAACATGGCGCCCTTTCTTTTTACCGTCACCACGTCGGTCGTTGGTATTAACGTGATGACGATCCTCGTTGCGCCGTCTTTGATGTACAAGGCGCGCATACCGGTGGCCGGGCCACCGCCTTGGTACACGGGCAGGATGGTTGCGCCGAGGCCTGCGGTGTCGCGGCGCAGTACACTGTACATAGCCATGTCGTGCTTGTTCCGCGGTAATCAGTGCGTGGATCACGTGGGTGCCAACGACGCTTCGCCAGGAACCTGAGCTCGTTGGATGCGGCTTGGACAGGTATCCATCACGCCAACTTCTCTCGAGTACACGGTAGTACAAGTACGCTGGCCATCGACAAGTGCAAACTCAACACCAAGCAAAAGTAAAAACGTTGAGATCTGAGTTTTCCCTTTTTATTCGGTCGTACACAGGAGCGCGACGCCGCGAAGGATCCAGTGCAGCGGGCGGTGCTCGCGCGATGGCAGCGTGACGCTAAAGATGAGGTTGCGGTCGTTCCGTGACGGGTACTTGTACACGGGACACTCAAAGCCGCCGTACGGACCATAGTCGCCGGATCGACTTTTCTTCTGGGCTTTTGTCGTCGCCGTCACAAAGAGGACGGGGAGCGCCGCAAAAAGCCGCTTGGGCTCGGACTCGACAAGTGTCGCATTGCCCTTGTGCCATCCCGCGCCCTCGAGCGCGAGGCCGTGGATGAGAACGCCTTCTTTCGGCGCCTGCCGGATCTGCTCGAGCTTCTCATATTCGGTGACTTCCGTGTGGTAGACCACGTCGTCGAGCGCCCACTTGTCGTTGACGTGGTGCCGCGTCACCTCTTGGCGCATGGCCGTGAGGAACCCTTGGGGGTTGAAAAAGCCCGTGAGCCAAAACGTGTTGGGCTTTGTCTTCTCGACCCAGTGCTCGAGCTGCTTGT